CGTGGTGACCACATGAAACTACTATCTTGGACGCGACAACGTTAGTCGTTGTGCGTTTTTGTCTATTGTGTTTTTTAATTTATTATATTGTTCTTTAATTTGTTATTGTACTAAAAACTAAAGTAATTCAATTTTATATAACAATGTAGAACCAGATACGTATTTTTTATTTATGGTTAATTTCGTTAACATTTTGAAAAATTTGATTTTATTGTTATTTCTATGATAAACTTCTACAAAAATGATTTCATTAATTGTTTAATTTTCAAAACTTCTTAAGAAAATTAAATGTTTTTATACAAATTCGATAGAAATTTATGTGACTGTGGTCATTAAGATCATTACTTGTTAATTTTAATGTACATTATGTTAAAACAATATATGTCTAAGGAGGCACTTACTACGCTTTGTTTTAATCATTAATTAATTTTAGTACGAAAGTTTGTGGTGGTAATAATTTATAATAAAACTGATGTTGACGAGAGAACGATGTACTCTACTACAAAGAAAAGTAAGGGATGTAATTTAATTGGGCTGCCAGACCAAGATAACGGCTTAAACCCTAGAGAGTAATCAATTATGAGTTTGAAAAGCCGCCAAGTTTGCGAGTGTATATCTGTAGAGCGAATTATTATTTTTCAAATATTATTGGCACCTCCTGCGGTGTCTAGCTAAATTATATTTGAAAATACTGCCAGACTACGGTGTGTAAAATCAATGTTTTTTTTTTTTGTCCGTGTCAATCAAGCATATCAAAGATATTTTAACGAGTTATAATATACATAACCATTAACAATTTATTCAGACGTCTTAACCCTGTACTTTTGTTGTTGTCGCTAACAATACAACAATTAGGCGGGAATAGTTAAAAAACCTGAAGCAATAGAGCAAGTACATGCAGACTAGTTATTACTAAAATCAGACATTTCGCACAATCTTGAAGCTTCGTTTCCGCCATCGCCGCCAGTTGAATCATTTATCTAATAAAGTGGTTTCCAGATCAATATTTAGAAAATCGTGTGAGTCATAATTGTGCGTACGGCGTGTNAGCAAGTACATGCAGACTAGTTATTACTAAAATCAGACATTTCGCACAATCTTGAAGCTTCGTTTCCGCCATCGCCGCCAGTTAAATCATTTATCTAATAAAGTGGTTTCCAGATCAATATTTAGAAAATCGTGTGAGTCATAATTGTGCGTACGGCGTGTGTGTGGTACGCTGGTCAGCAATGAATTTGCGCGAGGTCGTCATAATAATATGTAACGTCGTGAATCATAATATTCCACGGCGTGTTTTCATACAAAAAAAAAAATTATGTCTGCAAAAATTTAGGTTTTTGAGGTCAGCTAATTATACAATGCTCTCTAGAAAGTTTAAAACTCGTTATGTGTCAACAAATGTGATATAAAATCAGTTATTCGAACATTACGAGTTACTTTTAAATTTTTGTTCAATTATAGATTTTTTACTAGCAAATTTAAAATGAAAACTTAATAAACAGATTCCATTGGAATCTTACTTATTGCAATTTTGAATAATTGTGTTGTAATTAAAAACAAACTTTTCAGTCATAGCTGTTTTGTTTTTAAAAATGGAAAAAAAATAATAACGTGTTTCGACTAATGTAAATATAAAAACGCAATTGGTTTTATGATGCAAAAACCCAATACGACGATACTTGGTTTTATGATCCATTTCTTTCTCAGCAAACAATATCTGAATCGTATTGATTCGCTGAATAGTATAGTGCGCCTTATTCTTAAGTTTCATTTGAAATCGTTGGCTGATTTCTTACCACAAGTAATAGAATACAGTCGCCAAATTGATTTCTGTCGAACAGTAAAACTTTTAATGGATAAAACGTTTTAATTTCATTCCTTCACTATTGTATTTCCTCGTCGGATTCAAATTCATTTCGCCTTAAAGAATTAGCGTTCACGCACAGCCATCACCCGTAAAACACTGCGTAGTTCGAAAGTAGTTTATTGTGTCTGCACTTGCTATCTCTCTATGTCAATGGCTTTTTTCGTGCCAATAACATGCAATTTTCTTGTCTTATCCAAGCAGTATATGATATGATAATCGATTCAACGTAGAAAGATACATGAGTCATTCGTCTGTGTGGCGGCGACCCTCCGGTAGAGACGGCCGAACCGCATTGGAATATTGTTGAAAACCGTCGGCGTCGACAATGCCGATGAGTCATGAACGGGCTCTGCTATTAGTCCTGCGGGGCAGACCCAAAAGGGAGAAAACGTCGTTCCTGTGCGTGTGTAGTCCGTTATGCCGAAAGTCTCGCCGAGTGTATACATTGAAATAAATCATTATGAAATTAAAGTACTAGATCGATTTACATATCACGCACTCGGCTGTCTCTAAATGATAATTCATTTTGACACCCTTCATTTGTCTCTCCACGTCTGCCAATAAGAGTGTCTGCCGATTACCGCCACTCCTAGTATTTTTATTTTTTTTTTTTTTTAAATCTACACACTCCAGATAATATTAATGCAATTTTTGCCGTTTTATATCATTTGTGCACACATTTCTATGTCAATTATCTCTTATCGTTTACTTTATTAAAACTATTGTTGGTTTGTTTTTCAATCAAGTGTCAGTTATATTTATCTTCTTTTATTTTTTTTACCAGTAATATATCAATAATTGCAGTAGATTTTATAGATATTAAAAATTTTATAAATATAAAAGTGTTGTTAGACAATGCAAAAGCATTGTTGACGCGCTTAATCTTGAACGTTAAAATAAAGTGTTTCATAAATATATGGCCCATCAGTGACTTTTTTATAATTTATTATGGTTATTGTATCCGTGAATTTTATTAGTCGACATTCAAGTTATATAAGTACTTTTTTACAAGAACAATTTACATACATTATTTAAATTGCTTTACTGTTTAACTTAATTATTGTAATGCTTTAGTTACTGTAACATTCTTATATCTTTATTGATTAATCGATTAAAAAAATAATATCCACTCAAATATACGGACATCGCCTATGAGTTTAATCGTGGACATTTTTTTAATTTTTCGTTATTATTTTACCTTCTTAATATTTTGTTCTTAAAGTAACTATGAAATATTTAATTTATTCGAATAGTGTAATTACATTTTCATTTATATTTTCTGTTTAAATTATTTTTATTATACTTACTTTATTTCACTTTCCAATTTTTTGCTTAACAATTGTATTTTACTTCAATAGGTAAACATTAGTAATTCATAGTAGACACTCCTAATTATGATATTATTTAGTAGCTGATTAAACGAGGCGGTTCTGTTATCGTGAACCACTTAATTTATTGAAAAATCATAATAATATTGACATTTTTTTTGGCTATCAATCATGAAGTTTTTTGTTCATTCCTTAGTCTTATAAGGATAGAAACTTTTTTTTCTTGGATACTGGCTTAATTAACCAGCTTATTTATTATATAATGATCTAATTAAGAAAATGACATTTAGTATACCTAAGTAGGAGGAGAAGTGAGGCAGAAAATGTAAAGTCATAACCGTACCCGTATCTTACCTCCAGCCATTACTTTAAATTGTCAAAAATTTAAAAAATATTGAATCAAAAGTTTTTCTTTTTATATTACTATATAAAAAAAATGCTACCCTTATAAGATATATGAGATGAATATAAAAATACTTTATGATTAATGAATTAATTATAACATTTAACTAAAAAAACATGTTATTTTTCGATTAATTATGTAGATTTAATAACAGAATCACTCTGTATGGTATTTTGTAACGTTATACTTGAAAACTGTAATTTACGGGGTCTATTCTCTACACTATAAACGGACGTTTCAAATCATTCATGGCGACTGTGTGAAAATTCTTTTATGTTTAAGTATTGTTGTACCCATTTGAACTAAAAATAAAAATTGGGACTATAATGTACGTTTTTTATAGCTCGTAAAATTCAAACTAACGTAGCGCGTGTTGAATGTATTTTTAAATTTCATCTTAAAATATATTTATACAACTATTTATTTATATATTTTTAAATTCATTTCGCATTTGTGTTTTTTTTTTTTTAAGGTTTTGTATTTTGGACTTAAGTATGTTTTTTAAATGGAATTATGAAAATTAAAACGCAGTTAATTCGCCTAAGTGACTTCTTGGATAAAACGATCATTTATAATTTGATATTCAGTTCTTATTCCGCGTGTTTATTAGTATTCATAAATACGCAATTAGTTAACATTGAAAAAAGTTGAAACTTCCCTCCAGTTCAAACGACATTATTGTTGTTAGTATTTTGTTTATCAATGGTTCGTAATAAAATCGGGAAAATAATAAATACCGCATATTTTGTTGTTTAATCATTATTCTTCCATAATAAATTAGTCTTTTACTATGACAACACACGTGTCTAGGACTTGCCGGCGGCTGTATTGTAGTTTGACGCTACATGATCATATTATAATATACATTCCTTATTTTCAAAGAGTATTTAGCTAACAGTTGTGTCAATTAGTGAATTAATAAGCGCTTCAAGTCGAACGACGCGCAATGATATCATATTCCTATGACAAAACACATTCCATAGAACTATTTAGTAACATATCTGCGGAATATATTTATTCATCACTTTTAGTTTCTACGTAAAAAAAAAACATTGATGCGAATTGCGAATTATTTATTAGATAGCGTGTTTCGAATTCAATCCAATGATACAATACGATCTCTTGTGTTTTTGGTCCGCCATATTTTTCGGGCAAGCCGCGAGTGTTTCATTGTTAATAACAATCGATTGTTTAAATAGTTGACCGGTCTAGTTTATTATTATTATTTTAATTATTTAACAAATAACAAATTCCTTCCCGATAAGATGGAACACATCCTGTTGGGCGCATGCGTGTAGATAAGAGGCCTCTTGTATACATTTTTTTAAATGTATTCCATTCTATTTTACCGTGTTTATAGTGGGGCTAATGATAACTAATTTTGCTTTTTATTTTGTTTCAGTCAAACCAAACGTTTGTCAAGAAAGTGTGCGTGACGATACACAGTGTATAGTGCGCGGTTTATTCAATTGTCGAAATTATCATTTTCAACTAGATCACTCGGTTTAATTTAAGTAGCTTAAGTAATAAAAAAAATGGGAGCAAGACAAAGCAAAAGATCAGTAGACATATCTGCAGGTGCCACCAAGGCCGAAAAAGGACCTAGTGGCGAACCATTGGAAAACGGTACTATTACTTCAGCTTCCGTCGACGAGAAACAAATTGTCGAAGCTAATGGCGGTACGGTCGAAGAAACGCCCAAACAAAACGGATCCACACCACACGTGAACGAAAAGGTAATCAAACGTTATGCAATGACTTTTGCTTCGATTAGATAAAATGTACGCTTTTAATAAGAGTCCGCATAGAATTCAACAGCATCCTATTCTTCATTTCTCTCGTAGGTCAAAAAAGACCACATCGCCTTTCTTTTTTTTTAATCTCTTTACGCGACCAATCTTGCCTGCTATTCAGGCAAAAATAAAAAGGCGTTGGTCCGCGTAGAACTTAAATAGAAACGGTACCAGTATCTAAAATTTGTTAACCATATTTAATGACAATGCGTATATTGTTTACGTACGTATTATTATTAGCTAACAATAGAACGACAAAATGAATTTGTCGGAATAGTAAAGATAATAATTTCCTTACGTGAGAAACGCATAGTTTTCCAATGGTATTATTAGAACCATGATGAGATAATTCTTAGAAATGCGTTTATAGTTATTTGAATGAACTTAATTTGCTAAAACATTTGATATTTCGTAGACTATAACATAGGTAAATATTTATCGTCGTGTTTTACTTTTATGTTTTTTATAACTTGACCTAGACCTTTGATTTATGGTTTTTATCTTGTTGTCTTGTGTGTTATATTTAGTTAACTACATGCGTTCTAAATTATAGCCTATGCAATAGTTAAATATTCAGTCATTGAAATTTATTGCCCGTCCGTTTTACTAAAACTGTTTGGCCCTTATAAACTTGTTGACATATCACATTGAACGATATGAATATTGAAACATATTTTTATTTCTTTAGTGGTTATATCTATCACTCGTTAAATAAGTATCTGATATTGAAAAATTCTTAACGATTAATTTATACTTGCACCGTCAATAAAAATACTTTTAAGTGATAGATAACTGGTGTTGTAAATTTGAAAAATAAGTCAAGTTATTCTAATTATTTAGATCATAAAATTCTATTCCCGTTATATAAAAACAGTGTAGCCGATACCGTTCCGTCATACATTCTTTTACGTTATCATCAATCCTAAATCCTAAACACTAGGCCTTATATTGAAATTTGTTTACTTTAAATGTTGTAAACCATTGACTCATTCGAATAGAATAACAAAATTACGCAGTTATTGCCCTACAAAAGCCTTATCGTCTAATGTCTTTCATGAAATTTTATGACTGACAATAACATCTAGGTAAAATTTATTCATAATCGATCCTAGTAAAATACTCGACGGTTCAACCTTAGTGTTTTTCGTGTGTGTTCCCCTACTTGTGTCTGATGATGACCCAATTAGGTCGAAACGCGTAATGTCATTAGGATCGCCTGCTCGAAAATATCTAAACTGCCATTGCTAAGTCCCATTTGTGTCAAGGGAATTGTTAACGATACAATTCTCACTCGAACTTGTCCCCTGTTGCCAAAGTGCGTCGGGCGTCCGGAAGGTCAGCCGTTAAAAGCCGGCTGAGTTTCGGACAATCGAACCGACTGGGAAAGCGAATTCTGTTTGTGTTTTTAGTGGCCTGTCGTACATGTGCGAGACGACTTCCGTTGGGTGTTCCGAGCAATGGGCAACATAGGACGACGATCGGGTCCTACCACTGCGACGAAACCCCATTTTTAAATCGGCTTTCCATGTCACAGGAGCTACGGAATTCACAAATAAAACTCGATTTCCTAGTCTGTTCGATTGCGTTACAAGTTAGCGGATGGCGTGGCTAAAAAAAAGAGGAAACCTACACGGCGCTTAGGACCCGACTTATTTGAGTTTGACGTTGTCCGCCCGTTTTGGTATTCGGCATGTGTATCCTATACTGGCATCTGATGAGGCCCAAGAAGGCCGAAACGCGTCATACAATGGGGAACACATGCTAAGCACTAAAGGCTATGTAGATTTTTAAAGGTGACGATTAATTTATACTACTTAGGTAACATCATTGATAAGGAAAGATATAGATTATTCGTTTTTATAATTTTATTAATTTTACAACCCTTCTAGAGGTGTTTGTTAATGTTTTATGTAACAGTCATAAGAGAAGAGGGTTATATTAATAATGTTGTTGGTTTTTAAACTCGATGTTTTGATGTAAACATAATCAAAATCATCACTAGGGGCCAATACAGTAGAAGGTAATCAGAAATATCTAAGATTTTTGAAAATCGTAATTCCCTTTTAGAGGTGTTTGTTAACGTTTTGTGTAACAGTCATAAGAGAAGAGGGATAAATTAATATTGTTGGTTTTTTAACCCGATGTTTTGATGTAAACATAATCAAAATCATCACTAGGGGCCAATACAGTAGAAGGTAATCAGAAATATCTAAGATTTTTGAAAATCGTAATTCCCTTTTAGAGGTGTTTGTTAACGTTTTGTGTAACAGTCATAAGAGAAGAGGGATAAATTAATATTGTTGGTTTTTTAACCCGATGTTTTGATGTAAACATAATCAAAATCATCACTAGGGGCCAATACAGTAGAAGGTAATCAGAAATATCTAAGATTTTTGAAAATCGTAATTCCCTTTTAGAGGTGTTTGTTAACGTTTTGTGTAACAGTCATAAGAGAAGAGGGATAAATTAATATTGTTGGTTTTTTAACCCGATGTTTTGATGTAAACATAATCAAAATCATCACTAGGGGCCAATACAGTAGAAGGTAATCAGAAATATCTAAGATTTTTGAAAATCGTAATTCCCTTTTAGAGGTGTTTGTTAACGTTTTGTGTAACAGTCATAAGAGAAGAGGGATAAATTAATATTGTTGGTTTTTTAACCCGATGTTTTGATGTAAACATAATCAAAATCATCACTAGGGGCCAATACAGTAGAAGGTAATCAGAAATATCTAAGATTTTTGAAAATCGTAATTCCCTTTTAGAGGTGTTTGTTAACGTTTTGTGTAACAGTCATAAGAGAAGAGGGATAAATTAATATTGTTGGTTTTTTAACCCGATGTTTTGATGTAAACATAATCAAAATCATCACTAAGAGCCGATACAGTAATATTTAATAGTAATACAGTACAGTAGAAACTTCATATTTTATTTATTCAAATTAACTTATACAATTAATTTGCTTTTAGGAAAATAACGAAACAGCAACTGCTCCAGCTGAAGAAGCCAAGGAACCCGTAAAAGTCGAAGAAGAAAAATCGACAGAACCTGTTGTACCCGCTGCTGAAACAAATGGTGACTTGGACACAACTGCCGACGAATCTGTCAAGAGCCCAACAGAAGAATCAGCTACGACTGATGAAGCAGAAAAGAAAAAACGCAAGAAGAAGAAAGCGTGGTCATTCAGAAGTATTAGTTTCTCCAAAAAAGACAAGTCTAAGCCAGCCAACAAACAATCGCCCACCAAAACAAAAGATGCAGTACTTGAGGTAAGATTTTACTAAATATTTTAGCTGAAAAATTTGTTTTTCAAACGGGACCCTATACATATCTGATTTACACTTTGAGTAAAATAATGTAGATAAGATGTATTAACTTGAAAAATTCGGTTACCGCTAGTTTTTTTTTTTAATAATTAATGAAAACAATTATATTTTCTCTTGTCGAAAATTCTATATTGAACCATTATTGTATTATAGTCAACGTAATATTTTATTTAATAGAGATCTTGAGCTTAAAGGGTTTTTTTTATATTAATGTGTTTATAGTCAATTTGGCTTGGAAAAACTTTCGCAACTAGTATTCCGCACTAAAAGTGTGTTATTTGGATGCAAGCCAACGTAAGCGGTGTAATTTTTTTCACCGTATTAACGCTGCGGGAAAGGACGCTATAAACACCCCCCCATAGGAATCAAATAATAATAATATATGGCCCGACAATGCAATCGAGATATTATTGGATACACGGTTGATTCTGGAATGTCACCAATTTTGCGACTAAACCCGTACAGGAAGAGAGAGGAGATCTCCAGAGGGACCTCGATGTTTTTCCGAGTAATTGAATTTTTACCCAGCGCTGAAGTTTGCACCAGTTCTTCTATCGTGTTGTATTTTTCTCACTATTACAGTTACCATTATTTGTAATTTGTGGCCTGGACAGTAGCGCATCGTCGTGGTCACAAAAGCAATTGGTGAAACCTTGAACCTAAGTCTGGAGGACGTTGACTCGTTTCCAACACCCGCCCAAACTATGATAGACCTACATATCGGCGGCAGCGATTCCTCTGATATTGCTGTCGATAGTCACGAAATTTTTTAGCGTTTTTTAATTTTTATTATATTTCATTACCGACGAACAGGGAGAATTAGTAGCTGTGTGTGTGTTATGTGGTGCCACGCGCTATAAGAATTAATCACATTTTGGTTTCTTTGATGTATATTGAAAAAAGTAGACAACAATAGCAGTTTGAAAATTGTCAGCGTAAACAATAAACACACACACACAAAATACCTCTTTGGTGATTATTAGAAGTTATTATATTGCGCGCGTGGACGTATTTTCAGGCGAGTTTTCTGTATCCAATACAATATGCTCGACACGACTTTTGTCTGCCGTCAGGAAACTCGGAATTATTCCGTACGTTGCCGCCCGTTTTCCTCTCCGGCACGGGTATATTTTTTACCGGTAAACCACACCTCGATCGAATCAATCGAAAAATGTCCATTATGCCAATAATTGTCGTTGATCCACGTATGTTTAATTCTTAGACTTGTAGCGCTGACTCGGCACAATTTGTGTTCAAGACAATTACACTGTTGTTGTAGTAATAAAGTGAGTTTTATTAAGCGTTTCATTTTATACGTGCAATTACGACGTCTTCAATATTTCATTTACTGTAGTCGTAGTTAAGTTCAGCGAGGGGGACTTTATCTCTATTCAACAAACTCTTGATATAATAAAAAGTGTAAAATAATACATTCTCCTTCAAGCCGTTGTTCAGTTTAACGTTCCACCAGTGCACTTATGTACGGTAAAATGTAAAATTTATAATGAATTGGTAGTTAAGAAGCCGAAAAAAAATTCCGTAATATTTTTACTACTGTCAAAGTAATGAGTCTGCTTTTGTTCATCAATTTATCAACTGCGCTAAAATTTCATTTCTAGTTTCGTTATTTTGGAGAAAAAAAAATCAACCATTCGGTTTTTAATGAATATAAAAAAACAATATTGTATTTCCTTCCCCGATGAAACAAAACGTGATTTTTATCTTTTTTAACGTCTCAGACTAAAGTTCCGTTAGCTACAGTGCGGCACTTAAGCACTCGAAAAGAGTCGGTTGCGGCAAAACGGTATCTTAAGGGCGGTGCCAGTACTAACCTAACCTCGAAAAGTACTTGGGGCACGTGCGACAAAATACACTTTTACGCGTAAACTACTAAAATTCACTAGACCGGTTAAAAGCATTTCCCCCTAATCCAAATAAAAAAAGCGAATAAAGTTTGATAAGCACGGTGAAAGTGAAATTATGAATGAAGGCTCAGTGGGGAAAAAAAGTACAAAAATAAAAAAACAGACGCCCGCGATCGATCCGGTTGAGGAGAAACCGTCGCGACGCCGGTACCCATGGCAACATCAGACGGTCAGACTGTGCTTTGTTAAGGTAACATGTATACCACTGCCGTCCAAAATGCAACTCGTGTGTACAGTAATCAAGTAAATGCATAGCAATGTAATACTGTGTCGCCCACGCACCGTGTGTTCATCGATTGTGTCCGACAAACCGGCTGCGGCTGACTGGTAGTCGAATTTTATTATTTCATGTTCTATTATAAATGAATTGCGTTTACGTTTAACCCAACCGCAACTCGATAGTAGAAGTATAATAGAGAATCGTAGTTAATCAATATACAAGTACAAAAGAAAAAAATTGTACTCGATTTGATATACAGCCGTTGTTTTTCGATTTTAATACTATTTAGTTGATGCTATGTACTATTAAGAATCGCATCCCATATTTCCACTTCCGTAAGGACTACCCGAGATAGTATCTAACTCGAAGCTCTGCAACACAGAAAAATGGTACACTTCCGGTTACGTATTGCAAAAAAAGAAACATTTCATTGGAATACATTTAAAACGCATTAATGATTATGTAGTACGATTACAATGTACACTTGAATGAGTTCTCACGTTTCTTGTTTTGACAATGTTTTTCGTATAATTTAATGTCCGACTGTGTAATACGTTGTTTATCTGTAGAAACATTTTTTCTGATTATTTTCTTATTAAGTTTTATTCACTGCAGATGTTTCACTGGGATTAAAGCTGTGAACTGAAAACAAACTCCAGCACGCAATCGTAGCGTATGTCATCTGTTGACTCACAAACTGAGAATGTTTTACGACCGATAACGACGTGCACGTCATTTTTAATGTGCCACTCTGAAAAAGTGTACATCGTTGATTGATACAATCAGTGGCATCTAAAGCGATTTTAATAGATTATCATACTCCACTAAATGATTAATTAAGTGGCTGACATTCTGTTTAGTGTTTCTATCAATCGATTTTTTAGATTGAAATTTAGCCTACAACATTATTTTTGTTTACGATCTACAATACATATGGACAACATAAGACCGTTGTGTTTGCATTTAACCAAGACGATGGAATGTATTCGTTCCATTGAGTAGTGAATACTTATTATTTAGCAATTATTTGCCCAACTAGTCGTCGGTACAGTTGTTACGCATTTAAGTTTATTATTGTTGAAGAAAACAATCATTCATCTATTTTCAAATCATTTATTCTCGTTGAAATAACCTTGAATTTTTATTTATATGCAATTTTCGTGATTTGATTGCGCATAGGTTCTTCAATATCGTGTCCTTTAAACTCGGCGTGTTAATGTGACCCACAAGACTGGTATGCGTCACATTTTATTATTATTACGCACACAATACCGCGCCTAATTTAAATTAACATATTTTCGATCTTCTGTATGTTTTACACGATGTCTTGGAATTATCGGTATTCGATTATTCAACTCAGAATACGCGAACACACAACAACACTTCATTTTTCAACGCGGATTATAATGTCAGGCTTATTTTTTTTTTTTTATCAATTCTACTTACGCGCTGTTCCTATTTAATCGAATTATATCAAACATGTTTGATTAATGAATATAAATTAATATTGATTTTTTTTTTTTCCAAAATGAATGTAATTATTTTATTTTTGCGAATGAGAGTTATTTCATAAAAATCTCATCTATTTTTAACCATTGTCGTGCAGCGATCGTTTTGTAAATAATAAAATATGTTTGCGCGAATAACAATTATTTGTCAGGGGTGAGCCTAAATTGTAATTATCAAGATTTATTTTTATAAACACATAAAAAGTAATTGTATGCTTACAACGAATATAACAAAAATAACAATAGTTAAGGTTTATCCTGTCGATTCAAACGTCCCACGGTCCTAAAAAAGGCAATCCTTACCAGTTCCAAAACTTGTAAACAAACACCGGTTGAAAATTCTTGAGTTTAAAACATCTAAAAACGACACTTTGATGTCTCTCCCCACTATTTTTTTTAAGTGTACATAGCATAATAAAAGTAATAATTATTATGAAATTCACTTTAGAAAACTTCTTGTTTGTGGTACTTGGATCAGATAACGACGCATGTAGATCGGATTTCTAATCGATTTTATTTACCTTGGTGTATACCTTCTGACATTCTGAATAATTACAAAGGCTGTTCACAGAATAATGAAAGACGAATTTCTAACGAACTACGTCCAAGTTGACTCTATTTTCATTACGAGTTTAATCTTGTGAAAATTGTTGTCGTTCAATACGGTAATAAATTCTGCGGTTATTATGAAAAATTGTGTAATACGTTAAAAAACGACCAAGTATATCATGGGCTATATTTTTACCTTTATCCGTTATCTGACTGATTGTGTCTGTAAGTCATCCATCCATCGACTGATATACTAGGTCGTAGACAGCAAAAACAAAAGAGCGAGTTTTCTGTTGGTCTGTATACAACACTTATTATTGCAAGTCGATTGTAAACAAACCGTTATGCATTCTTAAAAGCAATTTTCTGATATGAGCCGGTATGTATAATAAAAAATGATGACGGTTACGGTGTGTAATATATTTTGAGGCGAACCTCTAGGGTAAGCAAGAAGACGTGTCCCGCGCACAGACAATATAAAATATAATAACAATAACAATAAAACCCTTGGATTGCCTACGAGTAACGTCCTTCAAAATGTTCAACGAAAAGAGAAAAAGCGGAAGATTCCTTTACATTCTGTACAATATTAATATTGTGCTTTAGTATAACTTCCCCTTAATCAATAGACTAGAATTCACCAGAATTGTATGGTATTATAATAGCTTCGGTGGCGTTCAACCGGTTTGTGTGCTGTTGTAACTGCTGCTGTCGTACCGGTGCATTGAACTATGTTGATTTTTTTTTTTTCGACAAAGACCGCATACAGCCCGAACTGTTGCTAACGTGCGTCAGCCTTACACTATCTATCTGTATATATTTTATGTATATCTGTTCAAGTACTATATACATAAAGAGTTCTTAACCGAGTAGTAGGAGGTGTATGTTGTCTTGTTTTGTTGCCTCCAGTTGAGGTTCAAATGGCGCGTAACCGCGGAACGGATGCCTCTACGCTACAGCCCTCCCTCCCCGCACACGTAGTCTTGAATCTTCTCCACCGTCAGTTCTTTCTTTCTTTTTTTTTTTTTTTTTACATAGTAATAGAATGAAATCTTACAACTGGAGTGCCTGTAGAACAAAATAATTACAACCAAAACTTACTTGAAATCACTCTTCTTTTCACGTGAGACAAACTGTCGTTGTGTTTTTTCTTACTTAGTATTTTGGAGTACATAATTAAAACTAAATTGGAAGTCGCACAAAAATAAAAACAATAGGAAGTCGCGTCACATGTAAGGGAAACTGTTGTTGTCACTAAAAGTCATGAGAAGAATTTGTATTCTGATGTTTCAAAGATTTTTTTTCTGTTAGTTTAACAAATGTGGTTAATAAAACATGACTGTAAAGAAGAGGATAAACAACGTGCCGTTGATAAATCGTTACGGTGCCCTAAGATATTTTCCTCTTATAGTGTCTGATACGTTGTGTGCATACTATCATGCGACCTATTCATCAAATTCACCGATTTTGTCTTGAGTGATGAGCCTTTTCCGCTATTTCCCGATTCGAACGTTATCCTATATATCAAATGCAGACCCCTCTGCCGAAGTTAAACAGTGTGATGATATAAGTGGTAATAGCTGCGTACCCTGACTAATTTTAATCGTTCTTTTCATCTGTGCTACTATAGATTATATAATCCTACTAAATTGGTGTCAGATATTATATCTATAGAATTAACAAATCATATCGGCGCCCATCAATCAAAAAATCTATCCAGCGATTAAAATGGATTTTTTTAAGACCCGTCAGAAAAACCACTGTTAATGTACCGTTAACGATTTTTACATTTCTGTGTACTGATGGTGTTGGGGAGTAAAGAAAAATGTATTTTCAGTCAGCATTGGAAAATATGACTTCCTAAGCTTCTAGTTTGTCACCCCTCTTGTTTTGCACATTTATTTCAACCGTCGTTATATTTATCCCAAGATCGACATTTTGTTGGCTTAAGCTTTAGTTTTATTGTTTTGGTTGTACTATTGAACGTTCTGCCAACATTTGAATAATACATACATCTCTCTCAAATAGTTTCATCCCCTACAGTATCATTTATACTTGTGCATAATAATTTATAATCCGCAATACCGTGTTGTCAAACCTTTCGACCACTGTGTAAATAAACTAGTACAGTCCGTGTTATCTGTGGTGAATGAAACAGAATGAACTTATAATGTATTTCTCCCGAGTTGTGGACTCGACATTTCTCAGTGGGGTTGTCATTTTTACGATTGTTATTTTATTATTTGCTGTCTTGGAAGCGACAGTGTGTCATTGTTATGACGTCGAACTGATACACAGATAACTTCGATGCTGGATAGATTATTTTAGAGTGTTCTAAAAAGAGCGTGACAAATGTAAAATCATTTACCATGACGTTTGGATAAATAAAAGTAGAACAAAAAAGAAAACCATCTGACACCCATTTATAACCAGCTCAGTTTGGATGATAAATGATTGAAAAATTAATACGTCTTGATTCTTAGCTGTGCCTTTGATTTTTCACGTTTACCTTCAATTGTTACAGTACTTAAGTAATTGTGCACTCGAGTATTGCGCGTTGAGTCATTTAATTAATTCGCACATTTTCTTTCCCTCTCGGAAATATTTTTCGGTAGATAATTTTACACTAACAAATGTTTATTTACCTCAATTGTGATTTATTCGAAATGTCGATTGTGAATACTACACGCCATAGTGTTTCGAAACACGCAAAATCCATTAAACCAATTGAGAAATTGACTGTACTTTTGGCTCGCTGATATTCACACTGGGTGTTGTAAATAATATTTCTGTGTGAAATTTCACATTTATCTTCTCACTCGATTACTTCATTATATCATTCTAATCTAGTCGATGTCATATTTTTTCCATATTATTATCGGACACGATTACAATTACGAAGGGAAATCAAGAAAATCGCCTTTGCTTTTACTGTGTAGTAGGTTATTTTAAAGTCAATGGAAATGGAAATTTCTCCGGTCGGTTTGTCATGTTTTAGTTGTATAGAGATATTTAGTAGAAGTTGCACTCAATTCGAGCTGCGTATTTCAATGCGAGACATCAAGTCGCCTGATATTCGATAAGCTCATAATTCCAACATGAATTGTATTTATGCAAGTCAGCTACTTTAATTTTATAGTATTATTGATGTGTACTGTTTTGGTTATTTTAATTTCAAAACTATTCACGAGCTTATTCAGTTAAAAAATTTTAAGTGTGCTCTTTGTGCACAACTTATTATAATATTTTATAGCCTGCTAGTGTGTTGTTAGTAATATCTTGTTTTGTGCTAGAGAAAAGATAAAGCCGCATGGGTGTGTGTTCGTTGTCTGCGGCAAATCCAGTTGTTTTGGTAATCGTTTGAAACTCTTGGTTATATCGTGTGCCCGTTAAAACTCGTAAAAAATCAGCAAAATTTCTGCAGTCGTTAAACTCGACTGGTGAAAACGAGTTTTAATGTGACACCTACCACCAAATACTATCGATAGGTTTTTTGTCTATATCTGTTTATGATAAATGGTCTAAACGATTCTTTATGTTTTTGTAAATATATGGTTTTATAAAAAGAATTTGCCAGTCATTCGACTAGCGTTTGAGTTTGATTCAAGATTAAATTGTATGAAAACGAGTAATACTCATTGCACCATAAATATTGGCTTGAAAATAATTCTCTTCGAATTGTCGTACGCTTTGTTTCCAAACCAAAACCTCTTCTCTTTGAATTTTATCGTTAACTGGTAATATTACTATATTGGAGAGTCTACGACGTTTAACAAAATCACATGACATGCTCGTTTGCATTTATCAATGTTTTACAATTTGGTTTTTTCGAATCGCATTAAAAACTTTTCCAAGTATTTTTGCATCTGTTAATGCGGACATTTGCCCATCAGCTAACAGCGTCGTAATACTCACAAAACTCGTAAACATCACGTTGCATTATAATTTTATTATTTTAAAGCGCATTAAATCCAACAATACTAATAGCATCAAATGGTATGTACTATTCAAAATCACACCTATAAACTCATAATTGATACGTTTTTTACGTTGACTTAACTCCACGGTTCTCTTATGGTGTACATATTTTACGCATGTAACTGTGTGACGTTACATTTGACATGAGTGGATAAGGTTCGTTCAAGGATTTTATAGGATCATCTTTTTTTTCATGTCCTCGCGTATGATCCGTGTAACGTATATTAGTTTATTACGCAGATCACATTATCACATACATGTAAATATATCCGTGTAGTCGTGGCAGCCTAGTTTGAAATTTAACTGTCAATAAAAGCAATGAGATTGATATCGAAAAAAAATCCAAGAAATTGTAAACAATACGTTTTATCGCGTCGTGTTTGTCCTCCTCGGTAAACCTATAAATAAATTGGTCCATAATGTCACTGCAACAGTGTTTTCGCTCCCGTCCAACATCAATACACCAAGCTTGTTTAGCTTTCCCTCGTTCAAAGTATATAAGTATAATTTACGACTTGCTGTAATCACTATGATTTCGCAGGATTCGAGGACGTTTATTTCTAAGGTATGAACAAAGAAAAGAATGTTTATGTGTAATAAAATATACCGTTGCTTTTTTTTAACTTTTCGCTAAGAAATCTTTATGCTTTATCATTATTTTAATATTTCAATTTACAAAAATATCCACTTTTAATTAACTAGTTGTTGAAATATGTTTGCAAGAAATATGTATAGGTTTAAAATATATTTTCTCATTATTTTGAAAAAGTTATTTATTTCTATGTTATACTCTGCCGGACTCTTTGATATAGCTGTTTTTTTTACTAATTGTAGTGTTATAGTAAACGATGTTTCTTTAATAGTTGCATTACCTTAAATTTTTGTGCTTGAATTTATTATGATTCAAATTATAAAACTTAATTTGTTTTTAAATGACGTTATAAATTTAATAAATAATTGATGTTTTGTTTATATTATTTTTATATTTGACATTTGAATTTGTTAATTATGACCAATCGCATTTCTTTTGTTGTGCGTTGTCTGGATGTATACTTACTTAACTAACTATAGAATAGGTTAAATGGAATTTAAACAGCCCTTAACGAGTACAGAATTGGTTGGATAAAAATCTAAAGATTGTATTACTATTGTTATCACACGACGAGTGCGTTATTGGTTGGTTCCCGTAGGGGCTAGTTGATTAATGTAAAAGAATATTCTGACCTCTTCAATGACTATCCCGTCATATTGTGTGTCAGTTAATTGAACATAATTCAATCATTGTATGCATTTATAAATCATAATCGCCTCTCAAGAGTCTCACCATAAAGATCGTTAACCACTCTTCCTAACCTTGCCCACATTTTAAGAAAACGTCACAGGAATAATGTATTAACATAAACTTTAATTTTTAGGTGGCTGAAGATGAAGTAGCGAAAGAAGAAGAAACCGAAACATCAGCAGCTGTTGAAGCCCCAAAAGTTGAAGAAAAAGCTAAAGAAGAACCCGAAGTTAATGTAAGTATTACAATTTTTCATTGCTGTGATAAATTCATTCAATTTTTTGTTTCAATATACATGCTTTAGTATACTACTGTAACAGTCATTAATATAACTAATGTTACATTAACAGATAATATTCTAATGTATACATTTATAATTGATCAATCAAGCATGTATAGTGTAATAAATTATTGAGACTATTATCAATAAGTTTCAATTACAGTATTTTGAAACATAACAAAATAAATGTTCAGTTATTAGCTCATTTTAAACTATTTCATCAATTCAAAGATAATCTATTGGTTTTTGAAATTAACTAATTTTTTTTTTTTTTTATAATTAAACAGAATATTTGCTTTATGTTTTTGCCAAAATTGTAATTTTTACTGCATTGTGAGTATTTCAATTTCAATTTAAAAATGGTGCCATTAAATAGTCCCTATAACTGTATTTTTTGATAATTTAAAAAAAAAATCTATTATTTTAAAAAGAAATGTAGAACTTGCACAAATTCTAGAGACATTATTTGAATTCTATTAAAATGTTTGACCTATAAAATCAATTACAAAAATTCAACTTATTTAACTAAATAAATATATTGATTAAAACCTATGTACTTTTCTTGAGTGCCGCCATTAACACTACACTACTTATATACTGTTTGCTCTTTTAATAACTGATAAATGTATTTATATTATAATATTTTTATTTTTAGAGCACTCAGACTACTGAAGTTCCACCTCCTTTGCCAAGTAGCCCTCCCCCAGTAGAGGCACCTATTATTGAACAAACTTCAGCACCTGTTGAAACAGTTGCCCCTGTTGAAACTCCAAGTCCACCAAAACCTGAAGAAAAACCTGATATTTTACAACCTGAACAATCTGAAGTAATTAATCAAATTTATTTATTTTTCTATGTGTATATAAACAGAAAAAATATTCACCAATTATAAATTATAATTACTTTAGGATGATACTGTTGGTGGTGGTGAAGGATTGGCTGAACCTCCTGAAGGATTAAATACTTCTGATATTGAAAAAGAAGTAGCTGAAGTACCTTTGGTTAATGGAAATCACGTAGAACATGAAGAATCATTGCCTTCCTCTCCTAATGTAATAGTTCAATAATTTTTTTTTTATTATTAACTTAGTTGTAAATAATGTTTTTACTTTTTTTTTTAGGTTGAATCTGTTACAGAAAAAATTGAAGCTATCAAAATTAGCAATGCAATTGAATCTAATGATGTACATCATGAAATTTCACATGTTAGTATATAATTTGTTTTATTGCATTTTTAAACTTTATTTTATTAACTAAAAAAAAATGTTACACTTGTGTTGACACAAAATACAAAATAGGTCATTATATTTATAAATATTAAATAATAATTATTACCTAATATTATATAATATTAATATTTGTTCATTTGCACTACCATTTATCGATATAATTAGTGGGTAATTGGTGGAAAAAACGTGCTATGTAGGAATTCGTAAAATTTATTATTAAATAAGATAAAAACAAAATTGTTATTGTAATTTCTTTTAAATATTATTTGAACAATACATAGCAGCACATTCTTTCAACTTAATCAAAATTATTATACAAATAAAATTAGATTGATGCATAGTGTGCTAATTCACAAAAAAAAAAAACAAAATCTGAAAAAGTTTTACCTAATATCACATAATTTCCACCAAACCTGAAATTAACAATTACAAATAAATTACTATTAATATGGTAACTTATAAACTAATTTTGATAATTTTAGCAAATAATATTATTAAAATGTCATTATTTTATCTAGGAAGTTAATGGAATAAATGATGCAGTAGCAGTCTCAAATTCAAATGAAGTCACTTGTTCTGATGCTAATTGCAACGGTACAGATGACTAAGGCTGGTCTCATAATAATATTTCTCTAACCATTGAACTTAATGTTGACATCAGTTTTCATAAATTACTTAATGTTATTACCTACTACTTTACATAAAAAAGAAAAATTTTATTTTTTAATTTTGCTAATTATTTTTATAATCTATCAACGTATAAAAACACATTCCCAGTTGATATATTGTAAATTAATTTGTCCTGAAGAATATTTTTATACCTAATTTTATAAACCTTAACAAGCAAACAATTTTTCTGTTACAAAACTTGCATTTTGTAAAATTATTTAAATAGGCTGTTTTTAAATATGAATATATTTTTTTTTAATTATTATTATTATTATTATTATTATTTATTATTACTGTCTTAGATTTTATAAATTTAAAAATTACGCAACAAAAAAATATATGTATAGAAAAACAATTACTATTTAGTTGTTGTGCTTAAAAACAATTTAAGGTAAAAATAAAAATTTTACTTCTTTTGATAAGAAAATGTAAAACGCTCAATTTTTATTATTTTATACTACATTCTGGACCAATTATAATATTTTTAATACAGAAACATTAATTTATTTTCTTAAAAATATATACAGAACATGTAAGCATGATCAAATTTTCTACATTATTTAATATACATTTTAGCATATATTTGTATTTATTTTAATTTAAAAATATTTATGAAATGTTAAAAACATAAACTTTTGTTATCATTTTTATATCTGACCCAAAAGTAAAAAATTAGAATTATTTAATAAAAATGTTGTGAATTTTAGTTGTAATATCTTTGGTATAATGTCCAAGCGCCTATAGTGTATAAGGAATTTTGGACACAAAGTGATACTTTACATCATACATTAAAACCTTCCCTAGGCGTTTTTACTGTATATTATATTATTAATATTACTATTACTACATGTATAGTTACTTCAAATTATTATCTTTTAGGTAATATAGATATTCAAAGCAAATTTTTAAAAACCTAATTAGACTTAAATTACTTTTTTTATATTAAAATAAAAATTTATATATTATATGTACAAGATTTTATTGCTCCAAATTAAGCTGATAATTTTTTATATATATTATGTTTTAATACTGTTTCACACTTTTATAAAATAATTTTACCATAATAATTAAAAACATAATTTATATTCAACTATATGTAAGCTACTATCAAATTTTGTTGGAAAATTTTTTTATTGATTAACGGAATTTAGTGTTGTTATTTTAGCTCAAACCTATTTGTCGGTGTATAAAAAAAAATTATTGTAAATGTTAGCTTATTAGATTGTTCTCTTTATTTATTTTATTTGACTTCAAAATTTTATTTCGTTCATATTTTTATATATACATTATCAAGAATTAAGTGTATATTTATCTATAAGAACTTTTTGTAAGTTAACATTAAATTTAGTATATTCAATTGTGTCTACTATATATATTTATATATTATTGTGTTGATATCTATAGATTTAAGTCTTGTATTTGTCGTTTTTATGATAAAGTGACATTATGTGTGTGAATAATTTATCATTTAATTAATGATAAATTATTGATATAGATAATATTAAGCTTATTCAAGCCATCTCTATTGTAGATTTAGAGTATTAATTTCTACTAGCTTATGTATATGAACATATTTTTCATGATTAATTACTTAATTTAAAATAATTAGAATTTTTTTATTTCTATGCAATCCTAATATTTATCCTGTTTGTGAACTATGACTAAAATGACATGATATTTAATATTCTGGTTTGCATTTTTTTTGTTTTTTGAAGTAAAAACACCTTTAATAATTTGAGTTATTACTATAGCTACAATAATTGAATTTAATTATTTTTATTATGAATATTACTCTAAACTGTATATTTTGTATATACTTTATTTCAAATACCTTTAAATTATTACCTCTTATTCACTATTTCTATTTTTACAAGCAATACAATTTCTGTAGTTATGTTTGATATTCCCATTAAAACTTACTGTGTTTTATAAAAAACAAATTTATTCAATTAATGTGATTTAAAAAAAAAAAATTTTTCTTATATTAATAGTAGAAAAACTGATATAAAAATCACAATAACCGAGTTTCATCTTGATTTGTTATTTTAGGATTCAGAAGCACAACTAAAATAAAATATTTTAAATTATTTCAACTTGTATTTTACTACAGTAACTTAAGATAATAAATAGAGCAGACGTTTGCTAAAAAAATTTATAAGATTAACTAATTATCAGTTTGTTGACTAAAAAGATCTTATATTCAATAAAACGAAAATTTGAATTGGGGATCTACGAATCCTCGAATTTCGTTTGTGAGATAATGTAAATATCCATTTTTAACATAAATGTTAGGTTTTAAATTGAATGTATTTAATTTGAATTTCATGCATAATACTTATTCATAGAAATAATGATATATTTAATGTTTACAATAGTCTCTTTGAAACAGAAGATAATCATTTTAATAAAAAAATAATTAATTTTTATTAAAAGTAATTAGTAATTTGAAATTAGTAATATTAGCATAATAATTATCAGTTTAATTTATTAACAAATCCTCACTGAACGACAATAATGTTTGTTCAATGTAAATAGCCATTTTTAGTATTTCTTGATAAATGTATTATGCTTAATTGAAAGGAAAAGATAAAAATGCTATTAACTAAGGCGTCAAACGTTTCACTGTATGGTATTTTTGTTCCTTAATTAACTGACTTAAAAAATATCCTGATAAGTATTTTTTTTATTATTATTTTTTGTAAAAAATCATTTTTAAATCAAGAAATTAATAAAAACCTATTGTTTATCATAGTAAGTGTGATGAGACTACGTTGCAGGGGATGGTTATTAATCATTAAAGATATTTTGCGCTTTAAATTGTAGTAAAACTGTTACAATCAGATGTTTTTATAATTTATGCTTTGAATGTTTCTCAAAAATTTCGGTTATACTTTAAATACTGTAGGATTTTTTGATGTTACTATATTTAGGTTATCATTTATATTTTATACGACATTTTGCTTTTTATACTTTACTATCATTAGCTTAAGGTAATATATTTTTAGTGTTTTTATTACCTTTTATCAATTAACTAATAAATAAAAAATTATATTTAAATAAAAGACATTATTATTTAACGAGTAATGGAGTGGGTTGTAATAAACGGACTTTTAGTATATTATATTCTGAAGATGACTTCCTACAATTGTCATTTATTGGGTATACGTCTAATTCGCAAAACATTGTACAATAGATTTCAATAAATCTTTACAAAAAGATTTACACGACCTTTACATATATTCATGTTATCTTATTTTTGATAACAGAGCCGGATTAAGGAGGGTTTAAGGTGCAAGTATTCCGAGACCTTAGGCTTAAGAAGCCGATTTTAAATATTAATAGCCTACCATGATTTATTTTTTATACAAAAATGACTATTTTTGCTCATCACATTTTCATAGAAACGATTTATCTTGAGTTGGAGCTCATCTCAAAACCCAAATAGTTTTAAACTTTTTCTCTCTTTGAATATCAGAAAAACCCACCATAGTAGTCTTGCGGCATAATTGGAAAAAGTATAGATAATATCCGACAGTGATTACCATCACTAACATAATAAACGCGAACCTGTTAAATTTCACTCAAATATTAAATGCCTGTTTAATTATTTGCTCAATCAAAAATAAACTATTTTTTTTTATTTTTCTAAGAAGTATATAGAAAGAAAACTTATTGTCTCTTTTATATTGTATTATAATGTCGCTATGAACAGTTTTTAAATGAGTTATATTAATATTAATAAGTGACAAATTGTTTACAATATTTTTACGATGTTTGACTTTAAAGTCTCATATTTCATAGAAAAAATAACATTAAGATAAATATTAAAATAAAAAATTATAACAGTTTTTAATACGTAACATTTTTTTGAAAATGCCATTTTTATGATATTATAATAATAAAATATTTTTTAAATTCCTAAAATTTAATATTATTTTTTAAATTTTGGCACTGATAGGTTCAATTATATTAAAAACCCAGCACAGGGGGGTCGCGGCACAGTGGTGACGTGACATATTTGGATCAAGTATAATGATATCTGACAGTGATTAAAATCACTATCATAAAAAACGCTTCAATGCAAATCTTTAGATAGTGTTTAATTNTGATTAAAATCACTATCAAAAAAAAACGCTTCGATGCAAATCTTTAGATAGTGTTTAATTTTAAAAAATAGGTGGATTATTCCAAAAGCAACATGATCTGCTAGTTCGTTATTAATATCCTGATTCAGATAAAGTATATCGAATGAAAAAGGGATTATTAAAAATTATTATTTCTCATAAAAAAATTATGTTGATCCATACACTTTTCAATAAGTTATAGCATTATAAAGTTAAAAAGAAAAAAAGAAAATCGAGAATTTTCACACAAAAATAGCATTCGGTAGCCAATTTCACTCTGAAGACAAAATAAAATACGAAATTTTTTTTTCCATAATAAAGTGCATTACATTAGCTTTAATTTATGATATATATAAAAGTGTCAGACTTTCCGGAACACTTTTAAAAGTTAAGTTGAAAAAGTTAATTTTTTGTAAAAAAGTTGTCATTTTAAATCCCCCCCTGTGGACAGTTAAAGGATCAGATATGACAAAAAAATATACCAAATGAAAGGTAATGATATCATGCATCTATATAAAAAAAATTATATTAATATGTTCATTTTTAAAAAAGTTATGGCAGTTTTTAGTAAAAAAAATTGAAAACATTTTGAAAATTAGCAATTTTTAAATTTGTAATTTTTTTGGAAGTTTCCCCCATTTACGGGGAACGAGGGATTTTTTTTTAATTTTTGAGGGTAATGTCTTCGACTAGATACGATTTGTGATCTTTTGACGTATCATTGAAAGAAATCGGTTCGGTGAGAGCTGAGAAAAAGTGGTAACAGACACAAAAAAAAAAAAACACATCTTAGTAAAACCAATACCTTCTCAGCTTCGCATCGAAGCTAAATTCGGATTCTTGAGACGTATAGATCATAAAAAATCTACCCAGTGAAAGCTTAATACTTATTAAGCTGAGTATATGGATATACAAAAAATATAGTAAAATAACACTTTCTCAGTTTCACATCGAAGCTAAAAATAAATAAACTAAAATAACTTATTTAGCTTTGATATAAAGCTGGGAAGTTATTGTACCATGATGTGATTTTTTTGTGTGTATCCTTAACAATTTTCTGTTCTTACGGGGCTAATTTTGCTTATCAATACGCTTAAAAGAAAAATTTAGAATAATAACTCGAAAATAAATTTTAAATGCTAAGGTAAAATTAAAATATTTTTTTTACACTTTATAATCGCAAGTACATTTTAACAGAAATTATAAATTTAATGAAAATTTAATTGACAATGTTAGAGATAATATTATGATTTGTCTTTTGGTATATATTTATATAATTCCATTAAAAAAAAAAAATCAAACGTTCTTAGCATAAAATTTAGTGCAAAAGTTAAAAATGTTAAATTGTCTCAATTTTCTGGACTTAATGTTTTATTCGGGATGTGATCTAAAAAAGTGGATCATAAGAAGTCACCTTAGTGCTGACATTCAGCTATGCTAATTACTGTTGATTCCCCCCTAGAAGGAGGACCATACGTGAACTTTAGAAATTACACACACCTTGCTCCCTTACTGACTTTCTTAGTTATAATGAGGTTGTTTCAGAACTATAGTCGGTGTAAAAGTCCAATAAAATCTTATTTAAGGTGGAGACCAAATAGTTGGGACAGAGGCTAAGGATATGAATAAAAAAAATATGATTATAGCGTGAAAAATTATATTTACTAAAATTGTAACTAATGCTAAACTAAACAAACACGTTTAAAACTGAAAATTATAATGTTAATAATTAAAAAACTTAATGATATGCCACGAAAAATACTTTAAAAAAAAAACCAATACAGTGTGGACGTGACATAGTTGGGTCCAGTATAGATGATATCTGACAGTGATTAAAATCACTATCATAAAAAACGCTTCAATGCAAATGTGTAGATAGTGTTTAATTTAAAAAAAATAAGTACAATAAGGTTTTAAACGAGACCACACGCATTTTTCACTTTTTTTTTCATTATAATTTTTTTAAATGTTTGCATTGTCTAGATCTGTACCAAATTAAAGCCTATAAAGTGAACAATAATATAAAAAAAAAGTGCCCGCAAAATGTGTATTACGATGAATCGGCCGTCAAAGAAATAATATACAAGATACGTATTTTTTATCTTTCAGATGACAATTTCGTCATTCGCAAACAAAAAATAAATAAAATCATATCAATACGTTTTTATAGCAATAATGTTAATCACTGTCAAATTATCGTCATCTATACTATGCGCGACCCCATTATACTTTATTTTTTTGATATACAATTAGTAGTCATAACTTTTTATTACCATTGCCAATCGTTGTTATGTTTTATATTAATTAATTATGATTAGTATCGTTAACTTTATAGATTTTTGCGTATTTAATTATGTTTTATTGGATTAACTTTCATATGCGTAAGATGGTCAATTTTTTCATGTAACTAAATATAATTTTTCCCTATCTAAACAATTTTTTTATAATAATACATTTAACATTTCTGCATTTTTGAGAAGCTTATTTAAAACCCGAAGGTTAAGTCCTTCAAAAATTTCCATTCTGCTCACAATTTAACTTTCAAAATATTAAACTATACTACGTACTGCCCAATATGAGTATAACAGAGCTTTGATCCTGAACTCTTTACTGAAAACTGAAAACACCGGTATAAATGTTTAGTGGTTATTACATATAATCAACTAATCAATTATCTAATAATCTTATTATTATATTTATTTCCATGTATATTTTGAACTTATAAAATACATTTTTTTGTATTTATTTTTTTATGTTTTTTTTTCAGAACGTATATTTGTCGCCTTAAATGTTGATAGAATTACTAGTCAAGTGTCTTTGTGTGTGAATGAGTTCTATAAAACTAATACATATGAGTCATGCAACTTAGTTTTATGCATAAAATTACCATAACTAACATAATAAATAAATGTTGAAAAGTACACTAGAACCTGGCGTATCCTATTCAAATAAAATGTCTAATAAATTTTAGTTACATCCACACTAGTAAATGTGTTTTTACAAAGTACAATACCACTAAAATGTGCAGATTGTTCCATTTTGTTTTGTTATTTACATTTACTTTTCACACGTAAAAATGTGTATTTCTAAATCTGATGGGTTTCGTGATTATATTATAAAATATTTGTATGCGTAATATTCATACGTATAATAAACATAAAAAGTAAAAATAAAATGAATTATGATTCATAAAATAAAAAATAAATTATCTTTCATAATAATTTATAAATTATAAATCATGCAGGATGATTCATTTATTCATGAACCACTTAATTAATCGAAAAATCAAATTGAAATATTTTCTTTTAGGTCACTTTTTTAATCATAAAGTACTTTTTATATTAATCTCTCAATAACCCTTTATAATATTAAATGTATTTATTAAATAATAATCGAATTTAGAAAATTAATGGCCGATAACAACTTTTGCATCCGTATTATGAAAGTTAGTAAAATGTCGTTGTGATGGAATGGAGTTAGATGCAATTGTTGTAATTTTTTTCACTAGTTATTTTTAGACTGCACTTTTCCTCCCGCCTATGTATAAAAATGTATGTCTACATATTGTAAATTTATATTGACAACATCAAAGTAGTTTACTATTTAATGATTTAATATGAACGAAAAACAATAACTGTGCTTAATTAACATAATTATTTTTGTTTTCTAATTTAAAAAGCTATAATAAATTTATTAGTATTGAGTTATACATATAATATAAATAATATACATATTATAATATAATATATAATTTATTTCAAAATACCACTTAAAAAACAAATGCACTACTTATGTAATCAAAATACTATACATTTTTGAAATATTTTAATTTAACCAAAATTAATTGTTATTGTTTAAATTTGTGCAAACATCACAGTTGGCATAATCCGTTACCATCATAATATTGATCGTGATGAGATTATTTAATTTATTATAATGCCATAATTTAGTTGAAAAAATGGAAACTTTGTTTAATTATTCTGACTACATTTAGGAACTCAGCCCCAATGACCTTTACCTATTTTTTTTTTTATTTCAATGACGAAAAAAAAAAGGTCTTCGACTTTATAATTTAAATTGCTTCGTATTTTAGTGCTGCCCTAAAAATACATAAATATTCAACACGTAAATATTAATTAACTGACTTAAATTATATAAAAAAGTATTTATAAGTTCGTTTGAGTATAAAACTAAAAATTAAAATAATTATTTTGATATACTGAGAACTTTAAAAATTGTACGTAATACGCGTATTTGCTGTTTGTGATACAATATTAAGAAAAAATATACATTAAAATATTTACACAATTTTTGGGAGCCAATTATTTGGTATATTTTTTAAATAAATCTAGTGGGAGTCAATATAATTATCAAATCTTAGGAGCGAATTTTATAAATAAAAATATGGACTGCTTAAGTATAGGAATCAATTCATTGACCTAATAAAAACATATCGCTCGTGAAATTTGCACCCAGTACTCTCATAAATGCGTTGTTGTCCTTGTTAACAATGCCTAATTTTTATATTTAAGGAGACCCTAAATTATATTTACCAGTGACAAATTATTTTATTTCAGTAAAATGTATTATAAAAAGTATTTTAAAATATATAGATCTTTTTTAGAATATTCAAAAGCTACTTTTGTCTTAAAACATAGTTTTTAACAAAGTGCAATAAAATGTCTTTCACTTACTGTTATTTGTATTTTTTACAATGACTATAATTACTGTATTAAGAACTGTTATTATAATGTTAGTTCTTATAACAATATTAAAATATTACTAATTTTAATTAGTAATATAGTTTATAAACTTATTAATAATTATTAATGAGGCTATTATAAAATATTATTTTTATTAAGTTATTCAATTTTATGGAACATAAAACCTCTTTCGATGCATTAAAAACTGATGAACATTTGGATATTTGGTTATTTGGGATATATTAAAGTACCTATTATAAAACAATAGACCTGTAAGGTTTAAAAATTTATTAGACAACAACCAAAAAAAGGTAAAATCCTCTTTCATGTGTACTTATTGAATATATTGTCATGAATTCACCCTTGAAAATACAATTCTACTATAAAATTTACATATTTTAATGAAAAATGCTGATCTGATGACCCAGTAAAGGTAATTTGAAGCAGAATACAATATAGAATTTGAATGATGGGTGAAAAAAAATGAAAAATATCAATTCCGTTGTAGTTTACCTTGTCAAATATCAGACATTTCAAAGTTTACAAGTAGCAATTACATATTCACTCAAAACTAGTAAATAGAGAAATTCTAAGATCTAAATTAGTTACATTTAGAATTAATGTTTTAGTGTAATAAACTGTCATGCAAACCAGCTAATGAAGTGACGTAGAACATGTCGAAGAAATACGTAAAAACAACTAAAATAAAGTTTTATAACACTTAAAGAATATAGAAACAAATAAATTTTAATGATCGTAATAATTACATCAGAATAAATACCACAATTAATATTTGAATTTCGATTAAACTTTAATAACAAACATAGAAACTTCTTTGTTGCAGAAGAGTATTTCTGAATATATAAACTTTGATTATTAAAGTGTATTTGATTGTGTGTTTCACAATGAATTAATATTAGTACAGAATTATACTAAATATCTACATAATATAAGTACACCCAAAAGGGACGATGCTAATGAACTAGTATTCAATGTTATCTAGACACTGATATAATTAAACTCGTGACCATATTATTATTTTTTATGCTATTAGGATTAAAATATATATATATATATTAGGGTGGTCCTTAATGTATAGATGCGGAATTTTTTTTTTTCAAAATTTGATCGGGCTACCCCCGGAATTTGTTCAAAAATTATAAAAAAATAATTTGTGTCAAATTACATTCATTTTGGTCATCCCTAAGCCGTGCCTCAAGAGGGTTGAAAATTTAATCATGAGGGTAGTTTTTCAATATAGGGTAGTTTATCTCAAAATTTATGATTTTTACATAAAAGTTTATAAGAAAGAAATTGTAGATTTGAATATTTTACATAAAAAAGTTATTACTAAAAAAGTCATAAGTCAAATATTTACCTCGCAAAAGTTAAAAGTTCAAACCAATTATATGTTTAAGAGTAAAATTTTGAAGTTTTCACAATTTTAATATATACGATGAAGCGTTTGCGTTATAAAAAAATGCTTGAGTAAAAGTTGTTTTAAATTAAATATTTCATATTTTTTGTAAAAAAAAAACAGTTATGAATTTTTTAATTTATAAGTATAAGTTAAACTTACACTTAAATAATAAGTTTCGTTCTAAAATAATTGTAAAAAGACAACGAATCTTTNAAAACAGTTATGAATTTTTTAATTTATAAGTATAAGTTAAACTTAAACTTAAATAATAAGTTTCGTTCTAAAATAATTGTAAAAAGACAACGAATCTTTTTAATCTTTTAAATAATTATAAATTAACGATAATTAATTTTACTATTTATATTTTCAATTAAATTTTGAAGGATACAAAATTATAAATAACAGTTAATATAGTTTTATGTAAAAGTAACAACACGAAAAACGGTGATTTTTTATACAAAAATAATAATTTTCTTTTAACTTCGACTGAATAAAATAGATAATAATAAACAATTGTTTTATTTACCTGTGGCTGTAGTATTAAAACACATAGCTTTTACGTGGTTTGTTAAACCCCAATCGACCAACGTTTGATATATAGCCTCAGTCTGTGATTTAGAAGTTCCGTTTAACATCTTTGGTACTGCTAATAGTTGGTCATTTCCATTATTTGAAATAATTATAGGTAGTCAATCAACTATTTGTTTACTACATAAATTAGGTAATAATTTGCCGTCCCAATGTAAAACTAAGGCATTGAGATTAGTCACAGAAAATTTGTCGCGAATTTCTGTACCTATATTCCAACGTATTTTTTCACGATGTCGTTTAATTGATAACTATGATATCATTGACATCATGCCCTAATGATTCAGCCACTGCATCTCGGTCGCTTGTTTTGCACCTATCTAATGCTGAAGATAACTTTACAGTCATTATGTCTATTGTGCCTCTTTGTTTTATGGAGCTTGATATTGGCAAAACATTAGTTTTATTAGACGGACCCGGTGAAAAATTAATATCTTCTAAATTTAATATTTGATCTTTAGTTTTTTTAACATTGCCATCAAACAAATTACTGAAGTCATCATTGTTTACAAATATAAAACAATATAAATTAATGAATATAATGATGTATAAATCATTAGAACAACATAAAAAATATAATGTACAAAATGAATGATAGAAACGAAACTATTCATTAAATTGAAATTCTTGAACGAAAGTTCACAAAAATTATTACCAACTTGAAAGTTGTTTATAATACAACACTGTTGATTTTTCAACAATTATAAGTCATCCGCAGAGTATAGTTCAATAAAAATTTGTTTAAATTAAATCTATAGTCTCTACGGCAAAAAATGTAAGAGTTATAAGGTAAATTGCTTTGTCATGATTTATCAAAATTAAATGTTTAGACGAGTTCATCAATTGAATCTAGATCTTTTTGATCGTTTTTTCTTAGAAACTTTCTTTGTAGAGCTATTCGTAGATAACTTTTTATTTTTTGTAGGATTATCAGTTGGTGTATCAAAATTATTTATGCCATCAACATTGTTAGATAGTTCTATGTTATTTACTAATTTTTCTAGTTCGATTGTATTAATTGTTTTATTAAACACATAGGAGTCTATAATTTCTTGCGGAATTCTTTTGAGCAACACAAAAGGATCTATAAATACCAAAATTATAAATTAATTTTTTGATAACAATTTTATACAAAATAAATCATTTTTATATTAAAAAGTAATTATATTATTATAAAATGACGAAATCTTTTTTATAAACACCATTGGAACTTTAAAAAAGAATATATAAAAATAAATATTACTATGATAATTTCATAAGAATTCGTATGTTATTTTCAAAACAAAAATGAAAAATATGTTTAAAGTAACGTGGTTTTGCTATTCGCTTAATAGACTTAGTGTAAAAGGGTTTCCGAGGAACTCTTTTAAGGTTTCTTGTCATAAACGCAACTAGGAAACAAGAAGGTGCTAAGCCCCTCAATTGACAAAATTACCCCCAACATTATTTTAATTTACGTATGACTTATAACTTATAATACAACAATAATTTGTTGAAATTTTATTTTCTTCAAAATTGTAAAATAGCCATTATTCAGCCTTGTCCAACAAACAAATTTTGTGGGTCGATGATAATTTTAGGACAAGTACATATTAAGTTATTATTTCAACGAAATTATTATTTGATCAAAAATAATAAAATATGTCTACCCTAGTTGGACATTCTGTATAATTGTTTGGGGTAAGAAGAAAATCCAATTAGCACCCTCCAAAATGTTAGTTAAATGTTATATTATTTTATGGTTTAAGTGTTATATGTATAATTAAGTGACTTAATTGGACTAAATTTAATTATTAAAAACTAAAGCTCTATGAAATATACTTCATTAATTTATTACTTGAAACATTAAAACAAAATATAACTCTAAAATACACTAATACAAAATTTAAAAATATATTATTTATATATTTTTAATAATAGTATAAAATGAATGATTGATTAGCTGTTACTATCAAACTATTATATATATTCTAACAGTGAAATTTGATTTTTTTTTTATAAGAAAAACAAAGGCGTTATTTGGGTGGAGACAACTAGGCTTTTTACCCAGTCTAAATTTTCAATACATATTGGGGCCGTATAGTGTTTTAAATCGCAATATTAGCAAGACACAAAATATCAAGAGTGGGGGGCAGCTATGTCAGCTATGGCAGCTATGTCAGTGGGTAAAGTATGTCACTTTACCCACTCATCCTATGCACATGTGTATATTATTATAAAAAAAATGACACTTACTCATATGATTGACTTTATCGGATGGTATTTCCACATTAATTGGATTTGATTTGTTTTCAGTAGATATCTCGACGTTTGACACGTCAGGAGTTTTATTCTTACGATTTGAATTAAGAGTATAAGAATTATTTACTTTGTCTTCATATTTATTTGTTAGTCTAAGTTTTTTACGTGAATCGTTAACGTCGTCGAGATGAGTTCTCTTCTTTGATTGATAAGTCTTAAAAGTTTCAGGCTTTTGAATCCTCGAATCCTCGTCTTCATCAAATGTTAAAAGATCTTTATAAAATTTTATAATTTTACGTTTATTTGGACGTTTGCCAACATAATGAGGATTTGTACGTATGTTGATGTTGATGACAGGAGTTCTATTCTTTTTTCGATACGTCTTGTGGGTTTCAGAATTGTTAATTCTTACATTTTCTTGTTCACCAGAATTATTTACTATTTCGTCTGCATGAGTTTTTTTACTAGACATATAATAGTCTATAATGTCTTGTGGAATTCTTTCGATCAATACAATCGGATCTATTGATTCAAAAATTATAAATATTTTATGTAAAATATATAAATTGTATATTAAAGTATATTAATATAAAATAAATTAATCTTACTCATATGTTTGACAGCTTCGGATGGTATTTCCACATTAATTGAATTTGATTTGTTTTTAGTAGATATCTTAGCGTTTGACTTATTGCGAGTTTGATTTTTACGTTTCAAAATTAACGCATCAGAATTTTTTACTTGTCTTTTATTGATAGTTGTTTGTTTTTTAGTAATTTTCTTAACATGGCCAACATTAAGTGTCTTTTTTGATTGAAACGTCTTGGAAGTTTTAGGCTTTTGAATCGTTGTATCTTCGTCTTCATAAAATGTTAAAAGATCTTTATAAAATTTTATAATTTTACGTTTACTTGGACGTTTGCCAATATAATGAGGATTTGAACGTATGTTGACGAGAATGGAATTTGATTTTCTATGTCCAGTTTTTAGATGGCTTATAGTCTTTTTGGTTTTGTTTTTCATGTTTAACTTTTCGTGCAGAGATATAAATTAAATATCTGACTACAAAAAATCAAATATTAAAGAGGTTTTGGGCAACTTTTGTGGGGTTTTCGGGCTTAAGAAAATTTCCGTGTCACACCTAAATCGCCCGTGACTGTTAAAAAATATTAACTTAAACAATATAAATTTGTAGTCATGGAAACAAGAAAAAAAATTTATATAAAAACAAATAAATTGGAATAGACAATCGCTTTTGCATTATGTAAAACGAAAAATACATTTGCCATTAAAACTTTTAGCCAGAAAAATTAAAATTAAAATTATATTTATTGTTGCAAAAGTTTGTAAAATTTCCATTTCCTTCATATAAATTTTTTTTTATTGTTGCATATTATATTTATATAATTGTATTTGAGATATTGAAATACAAAAATGTGTAAATCGACATAAATAAGTTTCAAAAATTTTAAGGTAGACAAATTAGTTATAAACTCACGTGAAATTAACAAAATATAAAGGGATGACATATTTATTATATGAATATTTTTCTTATAAATAATGATTAATTATCAGTCTTATCAGTCATTCTAATTTGATCAGATATTGATTATTGTTCTAAACCATTTAATTTCTTGTAAAATAAAAATTATAGTAGAATTAAAAATTTTTTTTTAAGATGTAATATGCAATTTATCAGTCATGGAGTATTTTTTATGTTGGTATGGACCGTTAGTATTTTATAATAAAAAAAATGTATTTTCTATAATTCGAGTAAAAAGATTTTAATTATGGCAATTTAACTTTTCTTAACTCTAAATGGTAATTTGATAACTTTATTTTTATCACTAAAATAATCCGAAATAACGTTTTTTTTATATAACAATATGTGTTATTCAAGGAATAATACAATTTGTCTGAGTTACATAAAGAAATTATTTTATAAATTTAATTTACATTTATACAAATTAGTAAAATTGATTTCAATTGCAACACTTTTAATAGTGTAAACATTATGATACGCTCACTGATGATTAAGTTTGAACGAATGTTTCGATGACTTATCAGTTCAGGCGTTTCGTATAGGCAAGCTAACTTTCAGGTCCTCGGCAAGTGACGCACTGTATTAACCAATCGAGAAATATTGTGAAACGGTACTAGGGACTCAGGTAGAAAGCAATGACGGTGGGCAATTTGATTTCCGAGACTCGGTAATTTACAAAAAAAAAAAAAGTTGAATAAATAGTACCAGGAATTCAATTTTCTTGAACTTTTAACTTTTGCGAGGTAAATATTTGACTTATGACTTTTTTATGTAAAATATTCAAATCTACAATTTTTTTCTTATAAACTTTTATGTAAAAATCATAAATTTTGAGATAAACTACCCTATATTGAAAAACTACCCTCATGATTAAATTTTCAACCCTCTTGAGGCACGGCTTAGGGATGACCAAAATGAATGTAATTTGACACAAATTATTTTTTTATAGTTTTTGAACAAATTCCGGGGTTAGCCTGTTCAAATTTAAAAAAATGAAAATTAAGGACCACCCTAATATATATATCTGTTTATTTAACCGACTTGTGAATTCTTTATATAAATACGATTTTTGAAATTATGATTGTATAGAAAGAAAATATGGATCAAGTGTTCAAGAGGTTGGGAAGTGAACAAGTGATATTGTAGTTTTTTATTGAGATGAATCAATTTTAAGATGACATAAGCCTCCTAGTGGTTCTTCCACTTTTTTTTGACCTTTCATTGATCTAAAATGAATTGCTGTTTAAAATTATCCTTTGAAGTAATATTATCAAGAAGTAAATAAAAATTTCAATTTAGTTAATAATGTGGATTTTTAAGACGATTTATCTACTCTTTTTCATCGATTTTACCACATTTATTGCATAATATAAAAAGTAAATTTATCTATTAGCTTTTTAGTCAATTAATTAATAATTATATAGGCTAAAATATAACGTTATTGATTTGAAATTGACTTTCCTGATTACTGTTGGTCAATGGAAAAGTGTCACCAATTTATGTCATGTTTCCGACAATCTGGATCCAATGTATACTTTGACAGTGTATCTTTAACACATAATAATTACTAAAAAAATCATAAACGGGTTTATGTTTGGTTCATACGAAGACACATAAATTATCTGTAATTTATGTTTAGACCGTCTTCCCATTACCACAAAAATGTTATCAAAAACTATCGGTTTTTAACAAAAGAAACAGTTTTTTTTTTAGTGTATTACAATAGTAGTAAAGTTAAAATAACAATAAAATAAAAATATTAATTTAGGTACAAAAACGTTACAAGTAACAAATAAAACCGTTTCAGTTTCTACAATAATATATATATATATATAATTATTATGTATTGAAAAAAATATTTATACAACACATTATTATTATTATAAATTGATTTTTATTATCATGAATTAATTGCAATATTAATTTTTATGCTAATATAATAATATTAGCAATCTAAACCAAGGTTGTTATGTTTTAGACACACAGTGTTTAAAACACCAACATTTTTATCATTTATATTGGTCTTATGTGACATTCTAAACGTTTTAAAATGTTAACTTGTGTTTTGAACGTGTTTTTTACAACTCCAATTTAAAATTGAAAGATTACTCTTTTTTATAAAAATTATAGCTAAACTTATGATTGCTATTATTCAGTCAATGGGCTATATAGTATAAAGTCTTTGAATTTAGCTACCTTGGTAATTTCATAGAAAACGTAAATTGCATTTATAGCTACTAAGGTGTTATCCTTATAGGAGCCATCTCACACGTGTGTGTAATAAAAATAACTAACCCTATTCTGACCTTATTTTCGTAGTATAGAAATGTTAAATCCCAACTCAAAGAAAAAAATTAACGTTTATTTCGGTCTTTTTCGATGTTGGAGATGAGCTAAATTTTCAACATTCAACCCTTCAAATTATTAATGGCCAACAATTCTGTTAAAGTGCAATGCTTTGCAACGTAATTGACACTGTTCGATAACAGTGGTATTTATTGCTATGATATGATATAAGAAAAATAAATAATTCTAAGCAATCTCAGCTTTATATCGAAATTAATGTGTGTATTTTTCGCAGTTGTTGGCATTTTGAACTTTTTGTTCTGTATTGCTTATGAACAATATACAGATTTAAAATATAGAAACTGTAATAAACTAATTTGATTTGAGTATTATCTATATTTACAATATCAGTGAGCGCTACATCATTCTTAAGGTAAGCACACCGAACGCATGCGTTTCGTCAACCATCTGAATGGCAACTCCACACTCACGTGGATTTCGACTATTAGTGCGCTCGCCGACGTTGTTCTTAAATTTTGTTTGTTCGTTTTCGGTCGTTTTTTTTCCGTATGTACTTTAAGTACGTCTGTGCAAAGTGATCTTATATTACATTGTTTGTTTACTGGGGTCAGGTAAATTCTATTACATTTAACACATTCAACACTGAATAAATGACTTATTTTATTGAGTTGTGTGGTAATATTATATCCTGTAGGACATAATCCATTATAATTGATCAGACTTGTTATGTTAATTTTATATTTATCGGTGTGTTACGAGTTTTTATATCACTGTGTAATTATTATTTAAAAATACAGACATAAAATGCAATCAAACTATTTAGCGTTTGTTAATAATAATAATGATGCTGATTATCATATTATACAATAAAGCATTGACAAATTTTCCACTGCTGGAAAAATTACATAACGATCTCAGATTTTCAATTTTTTTCTAAACATTGTTTGTCAATTGAAGATCTGAACTTTTTACCAGACTTTCCTATAAACGTTCCATAAGTAATCCTGAAAATATTGTTGATTGTTGACCGAGTTAAGAGTTCATTTTTTTTTTCACGCGCATAGCTTTTATAAGGATACATTTTTATGTCTGCACATAGCAATACATTGATTATATTTTTTGATACTTCGACAAAAAAATGAAAGACGCAGTATTTACAAATTGTATTTTAATGATTATAAAATTATCTTTTGCATATCTGTAGTGCTAAAAAATTAGTAGCTGGCTATTATTTAGTATAATTGTGCATACACTTATATTTTTGTACCAATATTATTATTATGAATATTTCATCAGTAGAAATATAATTAAAATTAATGAGAGTAATAAATAAAAATGAAGTATTTCACAATATGTAAACAATAAATTAATTATGAATATAAAAATAGCTTTTTACATAAATAGGTGAAAATTAAAGGATATCTAAAAAAAAATATATGAACTCAGAGTGTTATTGTACTATCTATTATTTAATACTAGGCTTTGATTAGATGGGGTGAAGTCTCGAACCCCCCGGGCTTCACGTGCCTTCATTTTTAATTTTTTTTACTATATTTTTATATACTGGTTCTAAAGTAATATTTTTTCTACTTAACACTTATTGTGTCCAGCGTAATTGTGTAGTACTATAGGAATCATTGGCTTTTCCGCAAGAGTGGCCCACGACGCTTGAGGCCTGTAGGGTACGAGTCCCAGCTAAGCGGAGCCTAGTTATTAATAATCGTTAAAAAATGATCAATTACTATTAATTTTTTGCGAATTATTCGAAAAATCTTTCAATTATATGTTTACAATACATTTAATTGATAATACTGTTAAATACATATAATGTATGTTAAATAACTTACCTATCTATGCCATCTTACATAATGCCATTGTACCCAAATATTATTAATTATAACTGGGTGACTAATCGTATCCTTACAGAAATAAACGAAATGAAATGAGATAGTTATTCTTAAAGGCAAAATAAATCCTATAATACCTTCATTAATCACTCCAGAAAATGATTTAATGATGATTTCTTTGGCATTTTGGAAGCTTAAGAGTCCAACAAATTCAATATCGAGGCCTTTCCGAAGCACTTAAATATCAAACGATTTAAATTTATTACTGTGGTATTAGAACTTCAAAACTAATTGAAATTAGGTTTGGTCTTATTAACGAAAATAACATGTTTCAAATCAATAATTCATTTTTTAAGTTAAAAACAGCGAATAATAGTGTTGGTTTATTTCAACCAATTTTTATCCTTTGGCTGTTATATGTTTTCACTCAATTTTCCATTAAATTTTATACAAATGCTTTGAGAACTCTAAATGCGGTTATAAATACAAAGTAATCTCAATACCTAGTAACAGTATCTCCTTGCGAATTAATCATTTTACCACAGGCCTTACATCCATTTTCGTACAAATGTTTATTTAGCTATAACCATTTATATTTATAGATAATGTTTAATATAACCGTTTTTATTATTAACTTAAGATTTAAAGATTGTCAATAAATAAGGTTACCAAAAATATTACTAGAAGAAAGCATATTAAATTGGCTACCTTGAGGTTTAATTATTCTTTAACATTGTCATCATTACACCTTACATTTTTATAGAGCTCCTTTATGTAACCATCAAGTAATATTGTTTTCGAAACACGAAATATAATTGATATAAATTAATTACTTTAATAATCAATTAGTTCAATTTGTTATTCTGTGTCTGATGTAGAAGGAAACAATCCCATTGGAGCAAATTGATATAATTGTACTTTATAAAGGTTATATATATATATATATATATTTATATATATATATATAAACTAATAATACAAGCGATAAAAACCCTTTAGAAAAAAATTTACAAAATTTTTTTTAAGGGGTAATGAAAAATAACAAGATTTTAATTACACCACTAAACTGTGCTAATAAAGATAAAAAAAAAACCTGAGAATAAAAATATTATGAATCGACCATACTGCCTTTCGGATGTACTTCTGAAAAGCTTTAAAACAGTAGTATTTTAAGTTATTTCAACATAAAAAACCAATTGAAATCACTTATAAAAATTTCATAACAGAGAGCGCCTTTAACAAAGACCCAATGGACCAGTTGTCACGAACACCGTCAAGCACATCATACCTCGTGACAGCTGATCTCTAACGTCATTGCTTACCTACCGCCTCACCCACCCAGCAAGGCAAATCGACTATCTACCCGTCAACTGCCATCTGTGGTCAGTCATTGTCGTTCCTCAACGGATAATATTGTACGTTTTTTTCACACAGAATGTGCCTCCGCTTGTGTGTGCTATTGTTTGGCCATAGTGTACCATATTTTTATTGTTTTTGCATATACATTTGGCTCCCTCGAACTTTCGTAGCTGTGCACTCCTTTAGTGTTCAGTCCGACGCTGAAGTATTTACTTTTTAAGCGACTACCCTTGTAGTCATCAATCCGTTTATATCTCCGACGCAAAGCATATACACAGTCCACTTCTCTCTGTCGTTATTCACCATTTATATATTCTACGTATATGATTAAATCATTAATTGTTTGTTTTACTTAATTTGTCTTATTTTCTATTTTGTTCGTAGCCGCTTTGCTGGCCATTTCAGTAATAAGGACACATCCTTTATTCTTAAGTTAAATGTTGCAGAACTTTTAATACATTTATTTTATTATTATTATATAATTATTGTCTCTACGTCATTTATTGGATGTGCATTTAGCTAACATCCGCCCAAGTGACCCTTCTCACCCTTACCTCTGGTGGTCATAAGCAGGCTTTTAATCAAGACGGTAAGAGCAATGCAAAACAGGCGTCCTACGGTCTTGCTGCCTCGTACAAAACAGTATCAAATAACAATAATTATGAATGATCTCGTATTCTGTAATAATATATAAAACTATTATTTAATAAAACGTGTTTTGTATCTAATACAAATCTATTTAAAAATTTGACTAAAATTAATATTTGGGGAAAAATTTGAATGCAAAATTTAATAAACTTCGGGGAAAACTCACTTGAAAATTTAATTAACCTATTCTTGAAAACCGAGTTATAAGATATATACAATAAATTTTACAACTTTTTGAAATAGTATACTCTTTTAATAATCTTCTAGTGTTCATATGTTATAAAAAGTTAGTATATCATAAGTTATATGAGTTGTCAGTTAGATCTGTTCCACTCTGTATAGCGCCATTTAATAGTCCTTTCCTTAATTTATTTTTATATAAAAATAATAATTAACATTTCAATATATTAAAACTTAAATTATATGAAAACTGCAACAAATAATAATCATAAATACCTAAAATAAAAAACGTTCTATGTATAATGTTATTAAGTTAATTAAATATTATTTAGGGGACGTAAAAAAGTGAATATTAATTAGTTCCTTTTAGACCTAATAGTAGTGATATGTTTAACTTATTATATGTAGCGTTTACAATTCAAGTATTTTTTTAGTGAATAATATATTATGTCAACAGTTTTATTGAGTGAAAACTATATAAATGAATATAATTCAGTTTAAATATGATCTGCTGGTACATTAAAAAAAAGATATAACGATATCGCATAAGTATGTCACTTTTTATAACTTATATATGTTTTTATGAACACTAAAAGATTATTAAAAGAGTATATCCTTTCAAAAAGTTGTAAAATTTTTTGTATATATCTTATAACTCGGTTTTCAAGAATAGCTTAATTAAATTTTTAAGTAAGTATATATTATATGGGTTGGGTTTCTTATTTACTTTTAAAATGTTTAAAAATTACTGTTTTATTTCAATAGAAGGGGTAAAACTAGAAGAAATGTTATTACTCAATGGATTATTATTTTACTAAAATGTTAAAATTATGGAACTACCATTAACAATAATGAAGTATTCTAAAAGCAGTTCAAAATATTCTGTAATATGGTAATTTTTTTTTTTCGAAACAAATTTATAATCTTATGAATACTTAATACTATATTTATAGTTAATTCCTAAAAATAATACTTATGCTATCTAAATAACATGCTTAAAAATAGCCTATGTAATTATTTTTCGTCAAAAGCAACTTCAAATACGAACCATAAAATATTTTTTATTTTATTTTTTTCTTAAATATTTTTATTCGTGTATATAAAAACACTTTTGGCTTGTTGTTATTATACATAAATTAATTTCTTCAAAGAATTGATATAGTCAAAAATATTTCAAAAGTATTGAATTAATGGTGTTCTTTATTTTATTTAGAAATCAATTCAATTTTACGACTAGATTTATTAATAATGTAACTCTATGAACCATAAATTGTATTTTGCTGGCACTTAAGAGGGTCAGTTTCGGGATTATCACATCCTGCTCTAAAAAAATAGCTAGAAAAATACTATAAAAAATGATATGTCACTATCATATTCCAAAAGAAATAATTCAACATTTTTTTGTAATCAAATACTGAGTATTATAAGTAATAAAGTAGATATTCAATGTCTTTAGTTAAATATGTCTATTTAGAAACTAAAAAAGGTTTTTGATTTTATTTTTACATCAATCAACTATTATTATTAAATTTACTCAATAATTATAAACTTAATGGAATGTTTGTATAACTAATAAT